TCCCTACACTTACACATTTCCAATGGCTATCTTCCTCTTTCTAGTTATTTCTTTCCCAGAAGTAATACCTTTCCCAAACTGCCACTTTAGGTCTTGTACACTTTCAAGCCCTTTACTGTGTACTTTAAAGTACTGTGTACTTTATCAAGTACTATGATTTACCAGGTCTCATAACGTTTTCAGAAATTGTGCATTTATCATGAAGCTTTCTCTTTCTACTGGTGTTTTGTCAGATTAAGCCCTCAACTCTTCTCTCCTCTTCTCCATATAGTTTTTCAAACCTCCCCCAAGTCTAAAATATTAAAGACAGTTCTGCTAGAATGTGGTGTTTATTTCTTGTTTAAAAATGATTTGATGTTCATGGTATTTTTTTTTTTTTTTTTTGCGATACGTGGGCCTCTCACTGTTGTGGCCTCTCCCGTTGCGGAGCACAGGCTCCGGACGCGCAGGCTCAGCGGCCATAGCTCACGGGACCAGCCGCTCCACGGCACGTGGGATCTTCCCGGACCGGGGCACGAACCCACGTCCCCTGCATCGGCAGGCGGACTCTCAACCCCTGCGCCACCAGGGAAGCCCCATGGTATTTTTTTTTCTCTTAGTAAGGCTGAAAGTGTGGGCTAAGTGTGGTTTTATTTACTTTCCTTCTTAATCTGTATGGTTTTCTAGAAGGATGAATGGACAAATTCTAACTCAGGAGGTCAGTATTATCCTAGGGCAACTTGGAAGTCCCTCAAATCTTTTTATTCTTATTGTTATTACTGATTGTGATTTGTTGGTATTTTATAAACATTCTTAAAACATCCCAGGAATTAAAGCAAAGGGCTAAGTTTGTGGACAAGTATTCCTTTTGAAGATGAATGAAGTAACTTCCTCACAACACCACACATATGAGAAACAGATTCAGAAATTAAACTCTCTCATATGCAATGACTAATATAATTATATAAAATCTGATATGATATTCTACAGCTTACAGTTTTGTGGTAATTAGAGGTCCCTTCTGCCCATGTGTAAATAATATCTACCTTGAACTAAAACAAAAGAAATTGTGTTTAATTTAGAAAGTTACATTAAAGAAGCAAACTAGAATCTACTTTCTTTGCTATTTTTGTCTTTATGATGATAATGCAAGGACATGAAACAGTGATTTTCCCATCTTAGGCTCTGGTAAATTTCACTCATCCCTCCATGTAACATTTACTGAGGACCACTAACTTGCCAGGCAATAGGGATACAAAGATAACTAAGACACGGTCCCTGTCTCACAGACAAGTAGAGGAACAGGAGTAAGTTGCAGAAGATCAGATACAGTAGAATATCCTTTACAAAAAGTTTTAAAATATGTGAATGATATTTTTCATATTTTTAAGGATACCTACATATACAGTATAAATACAAAAACGTGAGAAAATGATAATCAAATTCAGTATAGAGGTTAACTCTAGCAGGGTGAGCTGGGAGGAAGATGGGAATAAAATCAAGCAGGAGTAGAAAGGGAGTTTCAACTTTATCTATAGTAGTTTATTTCTTTAAAAAAGAAAAAATAAGAACTGAGACAAATATTGCAAAGTGTTAAGATCTGACAAAGAAGGATGGTGAGATACATGGATATATTTGTTATATTATCCCTGTTCTTTTCTGGATGCTTGAAATATCTTGTTTTTTTTAAAATTTATTCAAAATACAGTTCAAATATTGGCAAGATTTGTGGAGTTTTAATTCAGAAGTTTCAGAATGTGCTCAAGTTGTATAATAAACAACACAAAATTGAGAAACAATTTTAAGAAAGAATGAGAAAAACAGTCTGTCTGAATATGGTACATCATTTTTTTTCACATCATTTTTTAGATGAAGTGTTATACATACCTGTGAGTGCTAAATAGGAAGCAATGTACCGCTTTTCCAGTCCACCTCTAACACTCTGAATTGCACCAAAAATTGGAGGTATAATCATAATCAGGTTACTCACTGTATTCCCTATAGAAAAAAAAAAACACAAGAAGATAATGAGATTAATCAATACTACTTTAAATAAAGATATACACAGTTACCCCTTAGCAAAAATTAAGTAGGTGACTTCTTAGAAAGATGATGAAAAGATATTTACAAGGTGCTAAAGGAAAATAGTTCTCTACTCAACAAAAATTTCTTACAAAAATCAAAGTAAAATACAGATACCTTCAGACAAATGAAACTAAGAATTTTCAACCAGAACATCCACTAAAGGAACTTCTAAATTCTCAAGGTAAAAAGCAAAAGTATCTCAGAAAGAACCTCAAAGATAAGCAAAAAGTGAGTTGGAAAAAGCAGCTTACACCAATGCTACTGAAAGGGTGGTCCATGGATAACAGTATGACAAGATAAAATACAGAACTGAGTTAATTTGTCTCTTGAAATGAATGACAACAAATCAAAGCTTGCATTTTTCATCTCTTCTTAAACTTTAATTTCTGTGGCAATGTTTTTAGTTCCTAGTTTCTGTTTCTAGTAAACACAAAAGGCAACGGATCTTGATCTGATTTTTGATCCTCTCTTTACAAAAACAAAGCTGAAACATGAATAGCAAAGAAACAATAGAAACCGTAATAGCAGAAATAAATAGTAAAATAGGGAAAAAGTTGGCTAAACTATTTTGTATATTGATTCTGGGGAGTATTTTATACATGTATTCTGGGAATATAGCGGCACAAAACATTCAAAATTCCAAATTTGTGATTTTCAACATAGGAGCTGATATCAGGACAAATATCAATTAATGGACATATACAAAACACTCTACCCTACAACAACAGTACATACATTCTTCTCAAGTGCACATGAACATTTTCCAGGATACAGCATATGTTAGTCCATAAATTAAGTCTCAACAGAAAGGCAGATATAAAGTATCATACAAAATATCTCCTCCAACCACAAAAGAATGATGTTAGAAATAAATAAGAGAAGGAAAACTGGAAAATTCACAAACCTGTGGAAATTAAACAAAATATTATTAAACAATCAATGTATCACAGAATAAATCACCAATCAAATTAGAAAATACTTAAGAGATGAATTAAAATTAATACACAACATACCAAAATTAATGGGATGTAGTAAAAGCAGTGCTGAGTGGGAAATTTACAGCTATAAGTGCTTATATTTAAGATCTTCCAGCTGAAATGAAAGAATGTTACTTAGTAACATGAAAATATATGAAAATGTATAACACACTTGTAAAGCTAAGAATAATCAAATTCAGAATACCGTAATACTGTAATATGATGGTGTATTAATCACTTAAGTCTAGTACAATGATGTAAGGACAAAAGTATTAAAAATAACTACAGCTACAATAATTTGTTAATAAATACAAAATAAAAAGCAGGTAAATTGTGATATCAAAATCCTAAAAGGGTGTAATAAAAGGGTAGAGTTTTAGTATGCAAGGCTGCTATCAGTGTGGAAAAAAGTTATATCTATAAGTTGTTTTATGTAAGCCTCATGGTAACCACAAAGCAAAAACCTACATTAGATACAACAAAAGACTGTTGCTGGAGGGAATCAAAAAGGAGGGAATTGAAGTATACCACTACAGAAAATCATCAATTCACAAAGGAAAACAGCAAGAAAGGAATACAGGAACTACAAAACAGCCAGAAAACAATTAATAAAATGAAACTAGTAAGTCCTTATCTATCAGTAATTGCTCTAAATGTAAATGGGTTAAATTCTCCAATTAAAAGGCATACAGTGACTGGAAGGATAAAAAAACAAGACCCAACTACATGCTGGCTACAAGAGATTAACTTCAGCTTTAAAGACATACATGGGCTCAAAGTGAGTGGATTAAAAAAGTTATTCTATGGAAGAAAAAACCAAAAGAGAGCAAAGGTAGCTATAGTTATATCAGACAAAATAGACTTTAAGCCAAAAACTGTAACAAGACAAAGAAGATCATTATGTAATAATAAAGGGTTAATTCATCAAAAGGATATATCAGTTGTAAATATATATGCACCGAAATCAGAGCACCTAAATATATTAAGCAAATATCAACAGATCTGAAGGAAGAAATAGACCACAATACAACAATAGTAGGGGATTCAATACCCCACTTTCAACAATGGATAGATCATCCAGACAGAAAATCAACACAGAAAAGTTGGATTTCAACTACACTTAAAACCAAATGGATCTAACAGACATATACAAAACATTCCATCCAAGAGGCAGCAGAGTACACATTTTCCTGAAGCACACACAGAACATTCTCCAGGACAGATGATATAATAGGTCACAAAACAAGTGTTAGAAAATTTAAGAAAACTGAAATCATATGAAGTATCTTTCCAACTACAATGGCATAAAACCAAAAATCAACAATAGGAGGAAAACTAGAAATTCACAAATATGTCAAGGTTAAACAACACACTCCTGAACAACAAATGCAGGAAAGAAGTCAAAAGGTAAATAAAAAATATCTTGAAACAAATGAAAATGGAAACACAACATACCAAAACTTATGGGATGCAGCTAAAGTAGTTCTAAGAGGAAAGTTTATAGTAATAAATGCCTATATTAAGAAAAAAGATTGCAAATAAACAACCTGACATAATACCTCAAAGAGCCAGAAAAATAACAAACTAAGCCCAAATTCAGAAGGAAAGAAATAAAGATCAGAGTGGAAATAACGAAACTAAGCGCTGATTTTTTGAAAAAATAAACAAAATTGACAAACTTTTAGCTAGACTAACTCAAAAAAAGAGGACTCAAATAAATAAAATGAGAAAAGAAAGAGGATATTAAAACTAATACCACAGAAACACTCACTGGGGAAAGGTTAGTCTCTTCAACAAATAGTGTTGGGAAAACTAGATAACCACACACAGAAGAATGAAACTGAACCTCTATCTTACAAAATGAACTCAAACTGGATTAAAGATTTAAGCACACATGAAAAACATGCTCAACAACACTAATCACCAGGGAAATGCAAATCAAAACCACGGTGAGATATCATCTCACACCTTATCGCTAATTATTAGAGAAATGCAAATCAAAACTACAGTGAGGTACCATCTCACACTGGTCAGAGTGGCCATCATTGAAAAGTCTACAAATAACAAATGCTGGAGAGAGTGTGGAGAAAAGGGAACCCTCCTACACTGTTGTTGAGAATGTAAACTGGTGCAGCCACTATGGAAAACAGTATGCAGGTGCCTCAAAAAACTAAAAATAGGGCTTCCCTGGTGGCGCCGTGGTTGAGAATCCACCTGCCAATGCAGGGGATGCGGGTTCGAGCCCTGGTCTGAGAGGACCCCACATGCCGCAGAGCAACTAGGCCCGTGAGCCACAACTACTGAGCCTGCGCATCTGGAGCCTGTGCTCAGCAACAAGAGAGGCCATGATAGTGAGAGGCCCATGCACCGCGATGAGCGTGGCCCCCGCTTGCCACAACTAGAGAAAGCCCTCGCACAGAAACGAAGACCCAACACACCAAAAATAAATAAATTAATTAATAAACTCCTACCCCCAACATCTTCTTAAAAAAAAAAAAAAACTAAAAATAGAGTGGCCATATGATCCAGCAATCCTACTGCTGGGCATATATCTGGACAAAACTATAATTCAAAAAGATACATGCACCCCTATATTCATAGCAGCACTATTCACAATAGCCAAGACATGGAAACAGCCTAAATGTCCATTGACAGATGAATGGATAAAGAAGATATGGTACACATACACAATGGAATACTACTCAGCCAGAAAAAAGAACAAAATAATGCCATTTGCAGGAAAATGAATGGACCTAGAGATTACTATACTAAGAGAAGTCAGAAAAAGAATGACAAATACCATACGATATCACTTATATGTGGAATCTGAAATATGACAAAAATGAACTTATCTACCAAAACAGAAACAAATTCACAGACATAGAAAACAGACTTGTGGTTGCCAAAGGGTAGGTGTGGTGGGGGAGGGAGGGATTGGGAGTTTGGGATTAGCAGATGCAAATTATTATATAGAGAATGAATAAACAACAAGGTCCCCCTATATAGCACAGGGAACTATATTCAATATCCTGTGATAAGCCATAATGGAAAAGAGCATGAAAAGGAATATATATATATATATATATATATGCGCATAACTGAGTCACTTTGCTGTAAGCAGAAATTAACATAATACTGTAAATCAATTATACTTCAATAAAATAAATTTTTAAACAAAGATAAGTGTTGGCAAGAATGTGGAGAAAAGGGTTGTAAAACGTGTGTTGGTGGGATGTAAAACGGTATAGCCACTAAGTAAAACAGTACGGAGGTTCCTCAAAAAATTAAAAATAGAACTACCATATGATTCAGCAATCCCACTTCTTGGTATATATCCAAAGTAAATGAAACAGGACCTCAAAGAGACACCTGCACTCCCATGTTCATTGCAGCATTATTCACAATGGCCAAGATATGGAAACAACCTAAGTGTCCATCAACAGATGAATGGATAAAGAAGGTGTGGTATATATATACAACAGAATATCATTTCAGCCATGAGAAAGAAGTAAATCTTGCTGTTTGCAACGATTTGGATGAAACTTGAGGGAATTATGCTCAGTGAAATACGCCAGAGAAAGACAAATACTATATGATATCACATATATGTGGAATCTAAAAAAGCCAAACCCAGAGAAACAGAGAATAGAGTGGCAGTTACCAGGGGCTGAGGGTGGGGGAAATGGGGGAGATGTTTTCAAAGGATACAAACTTCCAGTTACATGACTAACAAGTTTGGGGATCTAACGAATAGCATGGTGACTAAAGCTAATAATACTGTATTATATACTTAAAAGTTGCTGAGAGAGAAGATCTTAAATGTTCTTAACACAAAAACGAAATGGAAATTATGTGATGGGATGGAGGTGTTAGCTAATGCTATGGAAGTAATCATTTTATGAATATGTGTATGAAATCAACAGCTTGTACATCTTA